CGTTATTTCAATACCACTTAATTAATTTATTGACAACAAACATGAATGATACGTGATGTAATCATCGTGTGTAGTCTGTCATACGACTGCAAATATTACTCACACAACAACAACTGCAACATATATATAATATATGCATATATTTATAAGATAATGTTTTATGAAATATATTTATATTTTAGAGACCTGTCAAAAAATAATCTATCTTCGTTGCAACCGGGAATATTCAATAACTTGGTTCATTTAACAGACTTGTAAGTACCCTTATATATTGAATTAACGTGCTGAGAGAGGTAGACGTGCATTATTTAAAAAGCGGCAGTCGTCGTGCCGCGTCCTGTTCGATATGGGACTCATAGTGACGTACACAACGCGTGTAAAATACTAGTACATTGTTTATTGACATGAAATTCGAACACGCGCTGCGCGACGACCACCACGCTTTAACCCCCTTGCCAAGAACCTTTTCAGGGAACAACGCGATATCAAAGTAGACTTGTTTCCATTGAAATCAAAAACATTTTTATATTTATTTAAATTTCGCGGTGATGTGGGGCTTTCAAATTATCTCCATTCTCTGTGACTTGTCGTAACGCGTTGAACTCTTACAGAAATTCAGCTACACGCATGCGTTTGGAGAAGTATGAACAAATCGTTTTCTTATCCAATTATGTTAATCTTCTTGTAAATATTGTTTTTGTAGATCATTAGCAGGAAATCCATTGGAAACGCTCTCGGTAGATATCTTTACAGATGTGATAGAATTAATAAACCTGTAAGTATATACCAGGTTCATGAACCCCAGATCGCAGATTAAAGGGCGGCAGTCGTCATACCGCGTCCTGTTCGATATGGGACTCGTAGCGACCTATACAACGCGTGTAAAATATATTGTTTATTTACATGAAATTCGAACACGCGCTGCGCGATGACCAGCGCGCTTTAAAAACTAATGTGTCAGATGAAGGTGAATTTTCTGCTTGAGTTTCACCATTCTTTTTTCTCTTTTCAGGGACTTAACAGGGATTGAGATAGCGAATATAGATGAGCGCATGTTTCGTCATTTACATAAATTACATCATATGTAAGTAATCGATGCTCGTATTGTTTCCCCATCCCTTATCTTAAAAATCAATTGATTCAGTATCCTGACTAACGTCTGTGTTATGCCATAGTTCAAATCCCATATAAAAACCTTATCCCACGAATAAAAAAATACACGAATTTAACAAATACATTAAGTAATACAAATAAAGTATTCAATCATAAACAGTAAAGTAGAGTATATGATTCAATAGACCATCTTCCTTTTACTGCGAGATCCCGAGTTATGCGTGAAATCGTACTAAAACAGAACAAAGGTCATAGCGTCGCAGCAACGTCAAAACATCGCGTGGTATTCGACAAACGCGACAGTGCTTTTTTTTAATTAATTAATACACGTTTGATGGTGGCTAATGAAATGAGGGCATCTCAACGCAATATTTGAAGATCAGCATTTCGACATTGAGCTATAAATAAATTCAAAAGCAAATCGTTCGATTTTCGCGGCATATGTTCGGTCCGCAACTTTCACGCAATATGCGAGATCTCGTAGTGTACAGAAAATCACGTATTCAAACAATGTAAAGGTAAATGTAACAATACTTATGATTTGCGAAAGTTACAGTTACAATTACGATCGTATCCTAACAGTTGCTTGGTGAGAAAGAATCCTTGTAAATAATAGAATGTTAACAAATTGTTACACAGGGAAACTATTAAAATTACGTGCAGTTATGTTTGCAAAAAAACATTTTAGAAGAATTGCTTTCATGGTTAGATTCTGCATTTGTATGGATACCTGGAATCGTTTTGGTGTACGGATTAAAATACAAAACAAATCTTACCTGAGATATTATATTTCCGTGTAGTATTTTGTAACACATGTTTAACCTTTAACTTCCCATCGATCGATCAAGCAAATTTAAAGTGGAGCATATTTCTTTGCATATCGAACATATCGAAATCTTTTTCAGTTTCCCATTCCCTTATATTTTTATGGTGGCCATTTTGTTTTGCACACATATACTTTTGTAATTAAACTGAAAAAAAAACGGACGGGACTGTGTTACCACGGACAGGGACTGTGTCACCACGGACGGGAACTGTGTTACCACGCGCGGATTTAGAGGGAGGCTAAAACAAAATTGACAAATCAATTGACAACCCCAGCCCACCGGAGGTCTACTTCGGCCACGTCAAGCGCCCCCTCTTACCGATATTCTGGATCCGCCAGTGGTTAGTATAAATTAAATATTCATTTTTTTGACTTGCATTTATAATGTGTTTATTTTTCTGACTTACAGTTTTGTAAAGTACCAAGCGTATTGCTGCCATGTTCCTCATTTCTACTATTGTCACGTTGACGGTGAAGACACACCCTTAAATAAAGAACAAGTGAACACACTATGTAGTAATGCTAACGACTATTAAATAATATTGGCAATATTTTAGTGACAGAAGAAGGGCTACGCCATATATGACGTGATCGACGCATACTGCACCATTCACTTTTCCACGAACGTTTTTCTTTTCTGCGTTTTATTACATTTCGCTCATCGTTTTCGACATGTCAAATAACATAGAATAGCGACTGGTTCTTTCGTGTAGTATGTTTCACTTATGTTGCGCATTGAAAATATTTACTAGCGGTTGGCAGCAGCAACATGTTGTTTGACGGAGTTAGAAGATGATCTGCTAAACGTTACGGAACAGAATGACGCGCGTGGAACTCTGTGGAAAGGTGAAACGTAACATGTGTTGCTCATTTCATTATTACAGTTAAAACATTTAAGTGAAAATTATAGAGAACCAAACTGAATTGTACATTTCATTTTTAGTCCTTGGTTCTACAAATTGTTCTTAGGAATTGTTTCTGTAATTTTAA